TTTTTCCATATCCTTAAAGAATGCTGATGGAATTTGGATTGGGATTTGATTTAATCTATAGATTGCTTTGGGTAATATTGACATTTTCACAATGTTCAGTCTTCCTATCCACGAGCATGGCATATTCTTCCATTTATGTAGGTCTTTTATTGTTTCTTGCAGTAGTGTTTTGTCATTTTCTTTGTATAGGTCTTTTTTTTGTCTCTGGCAAGATTTATTCCTAAGTATTCCTAAAATATCTTATTGATAGCTGTTTTAAATGGCATAGTTTTCCTCATGTTCTTTTCAGAGATCTCTTTGTTGATGTAGAGGAATACAACTGATTTTTTGTATGTTGTTTTTGTGTCCTGGCACTTTGTTGAATGTTTCAACTAGTTCCAGTAGGTTTTTTGCTCAGTTTCTTGGGTTTTCTATTTATAGGATCATGTCATCTGCAAATAGAGATAGTTCTCCTTTTTCTTTGTCAATTTGGGTGCTTTTTATTTCTCTTTCTTGCCTTATTACCCTGGTTAGCACTTCCAATACAATGTTGAAGAGAAGTGATGATAGAGGGCTTCCTTGTTCTCAAGGGGAATGCTTTGAGTCTCTCTCCATTGAGAATAATATTGGCTGTTGTTTTTGCATATATGTCCTTCATTATGTTGAGAATTTCCCTTCTATTCTTATTTTTTTTCTGAGAGTTTTAATTAGGAATGAGGGCTGGATTTTATCAAATGTCTTTTATGCATCGATTGATATGATCATGTGGTTCGTTTCCTTTGTTTTACTTGTTTTCTGGATTGCCTTGATTGTTTCTCTAACTTTGAACCACCCTTGAATCCCACTTGGACATGGTATATCATTATTATTATTTCGACATACTGTTGGCTGGGATTTTGTTGAAGATTTTTGCAGCTATATTCATGAAGGATATTGGTCTGTAGTTTTCTTTTTTAGCAGTGTCTTTGCCTGATTTTGATATCAGGGTTATGCTTGCTTCACAGAATGAATTTGGGAGTATTCCTTCTTTTAATGTGTTCTGGAGAAGCTTGAGTAGGATAGGTGTCACCTCTTCTCTTTCTGAACATTGGACAGAATTCTTCAGTGAAGCCATCTGGGCCAGGACATTTTTTGTGGGAAGTTTTTTTTTTTTTTTTTTAATGACCTGCTCAATTTCTTCCTTTGTTATGGATCTGTTCAAATTTTCCACCTCAGTCTGGGCTTGTTTAGGTAGGTCTTGTGTTCCAAGACATTTATCCATTTCTTCTAGGCTTTAGAATTTGTTGGAGTACAGTTCTTCATAGTATTCTGTTATTATCCTTTTTATTTTGCTTGCCTCTGTTGTGATGTCAATCATTTCATTTATTATTTGTGTTATTTTTCTCTACTCTTTCCTTTCCTAAGTTAAATTTGTCAGTGGTTTGTTGATTTTTTTTTTTAATCTTTTTGAGGAACCAGTTTCTAGTCTTATTGATTTTCTATTGTTTTTCTGTTTTCTGCTTCATTTATTCCTGCTCTGATCTTTATTATTTCCTTTCTTCTGGAGAGTGAAGGCTTCTTTTGTTGCTCTTTTTCTAATTGTTTGTGTTGTTTGGTTAAGGTGTTGACTTTGGTTCTTCTTTTTTGATGTGTGGGTTATTGCTATCAATTATCCTCTGAGTACTGCTTTTGCTGTGTCCTAAAGGTTTTGTTATGTTGTGCTTTCATTCTTGTTTCTAGGAATTTTTTCATCTCACACTTTATTTCTTCTGTTTCTCATTGGTTCTTGAGCAGTGTGTAATTCAGTTTCCATGTTTTTGTTTCCCCCTCTCCTCTAGTCTTCCTATTGTTGATTTCTGATTCTATAGCATTGTGTTCTGAGAATACTCTTTGTAGAGTTTAGATGTTTTTGAATTTACTGAGGCTTTATTTGTGGCCTAATGTATGGTCTATTCTGGAGAATGATCCATGTGCACTGGAAAAGTATGTGTATTGTGTTTTTGTTGGGTGTACTGTTATATAAATGTCTATGATGTTTAGTTGGTTGATTGTGTTGTTGTGATCTCTTGTACCTTTGTTAAGCTTTTTCCTAGTTGTTCTGTCCTTCATTGAAAGTGACATGTTAAAGTCTCCTACTACTATTGTAGTATTGTCTATTTCTCCTTTTTAAGGGAAATGGATGGTTCATTCTACTTGGCTCCACTGCTCTGAGTTGATGCCAATTTTCCCATCACTGCAAACAAAAACTCACTTCTTTCTAGAGAATGATTCTGTCTCTCCATTCCCCCCCCCCAAAAAAAACCCCACTGATAACCATTGGTCTCTATATATTTATATATTCTTGTTATTATAGAGAGCTCTGATGGCATAGTGCCTAAGGCATTTGACTGCTAACCAGAAGGCTGGCAGTTCAAACCCATCAGCCACTCCTCAGAAGGAAGGTTGGACAATCTACTTCCATAGTGATACTGCCTCAGAAACCCAAGGAGGGGTTGCTATGGGTTGGATTCGACTCCACAGCAGTGGATTGTTTTGTTTTGGTCATTTCATATAAGTAAGGTCACACAGTATTTATACTTTTGTAATTGACTTATTTCTGTCAGCATAATGTCTTCAAGGTTTACCCATGTCATAGCAAGAAACCATTAGTTGATCCAAAGTGAGGAAAATTTACTCCTATGTTTTCTTCTAAAACTATATAATTTTAGCTCTTACTTTTAGGTCCATTTGAGTCCATTTTTTTTGTATATAGTATAAGATAGATATCCAAATTAATTCTTTTGCAAATGAATATCCAGGTGCCCCAGCACCATTTATTTAATTTTGGGGTGGGGGCACCTGGCATAAAATAAATTGAACATACATATGAGAATTTATTTCTGAATTCTCAATTTTATTAATTGATCTATATATCTATGCATATGCCAGTGATAGACAGTCTTGATGACAATAGCTTTGTAGTAACTTTAAAATTGAAAAGTGTGAGTGTTCCTAATTAATTTTACTTTTTCAAGATTGATTTGGGTATTCTGAGTCCATTGCATTTCCATACGAATTTAAGATCAGCTTGAAAATTTCTTCAAAGAAACCAGCTGGGATTTTGAAAGATGAATTTGGGGAGAATTTCCATGTCAAAAATATTGAATCTTTCAATCCATGACTATGAAGTGTCTTTTGATTTATTAAGGTCTACTTTATTTACCCAATCTTATGCAGACATTAAAGCATAAATTTTGCACTTCTTTTATTTAATTTGTTCCTAAGTGTATTATTCTTTTTGATGCTGTTGTATATTAAATGTTTTCTTAACCTTACTTTTGGATTGTTTGTTCAACATGCTTAGGAACACAAATTATTTTTGTACATTAAACATGCATCCTGCAACCATGCTAAAAATGTTTATTACTTCTAATAGTATTTAGAGGATTCCTTATGATTTTCTATGCACAAAATCATGATATCTGAGTATTATCTTGTTTTAAAAATTCTTTACATATTAAGATTAGGATAAGTCTCTCAAGGGTACAATTTGCAGAAGAAAAAAGTTTAAAACATTTATTTTTCAAAATTACCTGCAAGTTCCCATTATTCATTTACCACCTTGGCCCAACTCACCTCTGTCCCCACACACACCCAGCATTCACTTAAAAGATCAGTTGAGTTTCATCCCAAACTGAGTGGAGAACGCCTGTACCATTTCCTGCTGCTCCTGGGAGAGGGTGGACATGGAGCTTGAAGATGTTGTGGGCACTGGGGTGAAGAAGACACTCAGGGTCTCTTTGGGGCTAGCTTTCCTCACAGACAGTTGATCACTGACAATACATATGCTGATGGAAAAATGAGCCCTCAGGCAATTGAACAGATGGACAACTCCACACTCCCCAAAATGATCCTACTCCCCCCACTCAGCAACCACTTTTCCTCCAGCTCTCCTCTGTCTGCCTCCCAGATTCCTTGCCTATGTACCATTTTCCCTCCCAAAGAACTTGCCTTTGGAGAGCTATCTGGAGCTACACTAGATTTGTAGGTTTACTCCCAACCCAGAAACAGTTTCACACCTGCATTTTCCCTTTACAATCTCCCAAGGAGGTAGATACTCTGATCTTCATATTCAGAGGAAGACACTGAGTCACAGAGAGGTTTTGTAACTTGACCAAGGTCACACAGCTGGTGAATGCTGGGGTCAGGGAGAGAACCTGCTATTCCTACAGCCTCGATTCTTAACCACTAGACTAGATTGCTCTACTTTTTGGAATCTGCAATTGTGAGGAAACCCTAAGAAGCACAATGTCTTCTTCCCACACCACTGGCCACAGGCTGAGATGGGTGTTCCCACGTGGCAGCCACAACACAGCATTTACCTGAAGTTGCTGTTAAGAATAGCAGTGGAGATCTGGGTGAAGGCACAAACCCAGTCCTGACACATTCCCTCCACTTCAAGAACAATCATCAACAATACCCCTCAGAGTTGCCTGTGATTTACACGCTCACCAGCAGTGTTCCCTAGGCAGGGTCCTATTGTCTTATTGGCACACTAAATGGGGCCACACAGGGACAACTGTCCACTGGGAGTCAGGAGTGGTGTCAGTGATGGGGAGGGCAACAATAAGAACAACCACCTCCCAGTGGCAGGGCCTCTAATCTGTGTTAGGCCCTGTGACAAACTCTTCACAGGTTCATTGGCTTCCTTTTTCACAGCAGCCCAAGAGATGGGTATCACTAGACCCATTTTGCAAATGAGGAGACTGAGAGGTTAAGCAAGTGTCCCAAAGCGGCAGAGCAAGGGACAAGGATGAGAGCCTCAAACTCTATAGCCTCTGTCCCTAAGAGTTGGGCTGTGCTGGAGCAGACAGATATGGACATAGGTCAGACCAGGGTGTGTTGGGGGAGGGTCTGAGCTGGACATCACAGAGGGAATTGGCAGGGAAAAGATGGGGAAGCCTGCAGAGTTCTGAGAGGGAGAGTGGAGGACATGGGGAAGGGACAGAAAAGCAGAGCATCTTGTCCTGAAAGAGCAAAGCAGCTCAGGTTCCCAGGATCCTACCACATCTCCTACCCACTTTCTCTTTCTGGGCCTTAGGGAGGAAGCAGATGCTCACTGTCTGGCTGCACATATCCACGAGGAGAGAGCTGAGGTCATGCTGAGTTTGGGGCAACACACGGAGGAAGATAGCAATGTCACATTTTGTGTGTTTCAGCAACCAAAGCTGCAGGACTGTGGAGGGAGAATAGAAGGTTGGGCTGCCTCACTCACATGGCCCCTATGACTGACCCCTTCACACCTCCTGTCCCATCCAATCATCCTTTTCACACACTTACTGGGGTCCTTCAGCTTCTTCATATTCCTGCTACCCTTGAAGTACTTGCCCAAGCTGCTTCTAAGATAAAAAGAGGAACAGGAGGTGAGGTATTGGCTAGGGTTGGCTGGGGAGTCACAAGGCCCAGAGTATCATCACATCTGTGATACTCACAGATCTGGGTCCTCAGAGTTGAAGGGAGTGGTCAGCAAGAAGCAGGTCTTGTCATGGTAAGCACACAAAAGACCCTGCCTTTCCCCATAGTTATAGATCCAGAAATACCTGTGGGGAAGCAAAGAGGACAGGTGCTCTGTAGTCTGTCCTGTAGGTGAACTTGAAAGCCCCCATGAACAAGCCTGTGTCTGGGCAGCTTGGCCTATCGCAGCTCTCCCTGCTTCAAGGGTCCCAGAGGTATGAACTGCTTCAGGAATTGCAGGACTAGATTCCTTAGGGACTCAGATCCAATGATCCTTCCCTGGAATCAAAATGGTCTTCAGGACCGTGGTTGTTAATCCCCCCCTCACCCAACCTCCAGGCCCTGCTTAAGGCCACGTCCTCACTTTGCAGACTGGTAACTTCTTGTGGGCTTCAGTGCCAGAGATAATGGGTCGGGGTAACATCCTGGGAGAGGGAAAAGGAAGTCATCAGTGCAGTTGAGGGTGGAGGCACTGGATGGTCAGGGAAAGGATGGGGCCCAGGAGAAAGGGAGGATCAGAGGTCAGGGTAAAAGGGCCTTGGAAATTCCATGGCAAGATTATCATGAGATCTTTATGAGAGAACTGCAGAGAAGGTCCATAGCTTTTGTCAGGTTCCCTCACATATCTGTCCACCTATGTGGATTAGGGGGTTTTTGTTAGGCTGGGTTCTCTAGAGAAGCAAAACAAGTAAAGCTAAGAGAGAGAGAGAGAGAGAGAGAGAGAAAATATTTCAGTATCACAACGTGAGCCTTTAATTTTTTTCCTCAGTTCTTTCAGCTTGAGAAATGCTGAGTGTGTTCTTCACTTTTGGTTTTTTAACTCCAAGTCTTTGCACATTTCATTATAGTCATTGGCTTTGTCTTCTTGAGCTGCTCTTTGAAATCTTCGGTTCAGCTCTTTTATCTTGTCATCTCTTCCATTT